GGGGACAGCGGGAATGGGAACGGGGACATGGAATGGGAACGGGACAGCGGGAATGGGAATGGGGACACGGAATGGGAACGGGGACATGGAATGGGAACGGGACAGTGGAAATGGGAACGGGGACATGGAATGGGAATGGGACACGGGGTGGGTCAGCGGGAACAGGAATGGGAACGGGACACAGGGTGGGTCAGCAGGAATGGGGACACGGGACATGGGGTGGGTCAACGGGAATGAGAATGGGACACAGGGTGGGTCAGTGGGAATGGGAAGGATCAGTGGGAACAGAAATGGGAATGAGATACAGGAATGGGACATGGGGCGGATCAACGGGAATGGGGATGGGAACAGTGACATGGGGCGGGAATGGGAATGGGACACGGGATATGGGGACACAGAATGGGAATGGGACACGGGGCGGGTCAGCGGGAACGGGAATGGGAACGGGAAGGGTCAGTGGGAATGGTAATGGGGAAACGGAATGGGAACGGGACACAGGGTGGGAATGGGACACGGGCAGGTCAGCGGGAAAGGGAATGGGATACAGGAAAGGAACACAGGGTGGGAACGGGAATGGGACATGGGGCAGGAATGGGGACATGGGGTGGGTCAGCGGGAACAGGAATGGGATATGGAGACACAGAATGGGAACGGGACACAGGGCGGGCCAGTGGGTATGGGCTCACAGGCACATGGGGTGGGTCAGTGGGAATGGGACCATGGGGTGGGAATGGGACATGGGGCAGGTGAGTGGGAACAGGAACGGGGACACGGGGCAGGTCAGCAGGAATGGGGACAGGAATGGGACATGGGGCGAGTGAGTGGGAAGGGGAATGGGACACAGAACAGGAACGGGGCACGGAACGGGTGAGAGGGAACAGGAATGGGAATGGGGACATGGAGCATTCCCAGGAATGGGACACAGAGCTGCTGGGCCCTGCCTGTCCCCTGCCTGTCCCCACCACAACTTCCCCACATTCCCCCAGAGCTCTTGGGGTCCCCCAGGGCTCCTTCACCCTGTTCTGGCCCCAATCCCAGCCTCAATCCCAATCCCAATCCCGGCCCCAATCCCAATCCCAATCCCGGCCCCAATCCCAACCCCGAACCATGGCCTCAATCCCAATCCCAACCCCGATCCTGGCCCCGATCCCAATTCCGATCCCAACCCCGATCCTCTGTCCCCGTCCCCTGTCCCTGTCCCTCCTCGGGGTCCGGATCCCCCTCACCCACAAAAACCCCACAGGAAGGGAAAATCCCAACAACAACAACAAAATAACGAAATTTGGGGACATGGGTGTCCCCGAGAGCTGGGAACTGTCACCTCCCCAGGACCCTGAGGACACTGGGCACAAGGAGGGGACACGGACGGTACCTTCGGGCAGGGAGGTGACGTTGGTGACGCGCAGGTTGGGGTTGGGGACAGGGAGGGGACACACGTCCTTGCCCAGCCGGGACACGGGGGGCAGCACGAAGGTGATCTCGTACTTGTGTAGGATCTTCAGGAACCCAACCTGGAAAATGGGACACGGGGACAGTGACACCGCAGGGGAGGTGACACTGCGAACAGGGTGAGACCGCGGGGAA